GAAGGTGCATGGTAGTATTTTGATCTTTTAAAATTTGTTTATGCTTGATTCATGGCCAAGTATGTGATTGATCTTGGAGTACATTTCATGTGATGATGAGTAGAATGTATATTCTGTGGTCATTGGGTGGAGTATTCTGTCACTATCTATTAAGTTCATTTGGTCAAGTGTCAAGCTGAGTTTCCAAATCTCTTTGTTGATTTTTTGCCCTTATGATCTATCTAGGATTATTAGTGGGGTATTTAAGTCCCCAGCTATAATACTGTCAGAATCAGTATCTTTTTTTAGGTTACTTAATAGTTGCTTTATAAATGCTGGTGCTTCTGTGTTGGGTGCATATATGTTTAGGATGGATATTTCTTGTTGGTGGATTGAACAATTTATCATTATGTAGTGTCCTTCTGTATGTTTTTAAATTTTTGATAGTTTAAATGTTGTTTTGTCTGTCATTAAGATCATTACTCCTGCCTTCTTTTGTGACCCATTTGTCTGGAAATGCGTTTTCAATCCTCTAGCCTTGAGTCTGTGTGTGTACCTTGTGGTGAGATGAGTTTCCTGGATACAGCAAGTTATTGGGTCATATTTTTATATTGTTTGACACTGTGTCTTTTCAGTGATGCATTAGTCCATACGCATTCAGGCTGATTATTGAAATGTGAGTGTTTATTCCCATCATGGAGTCCTTATAATGTTTTCTTTGTTTGTTTTCTTTTAACTTTTCAGTTGATGTATGTGTGTGTTTTCAAATTTGCAGTCATGATGTATACTCCATTGATTCTGTGTTCCCCTTTTCTCTTGGGTAGTGCATGATCATTCTTTGTTTTACTTCTTCTGCACTTAATGAATGTTTAAATGTCTCCTGTAGAACTGATCTGGAAGCTACATAAACTCTTAGGGATTGGATATCTAGGAAGGATTTTAATTCTCCATTGCTGATGAGGCTGAGCTTGACTGGATAGAAAATTCTTGGTTACAATTGTTTATCTTTGAGGACTTTGAAAATTGAACTCCAGTCTCTTCCATCTTGTAGTATTTCTGCCAATAGGTCTGCTGCTATTCTACTGGTCTTCTCCAGTGAGTAGTCTGATCTTTCTCTCTCTCTAACTTTAGGATTTTTTATTTTGTACTTACTTTGTCTAGGCAAATTACTATGTGTCTAGGGGTTGGTCTTCTCATTTGATGTCTTATGGGGGTTCTCTGTATCTCTTATGCTTGGATTGTCACATCTCTGGTGAGATGGGGAAAGTTTTCTTTGATAATTCCCTGGAACATTTTCTCCAAGGAGTTCTCCATTTCCCTTTCTTCTTCTGGGATACTAATCAGTCATAAGTTTGACCTCTTGATATAATTGCATATCTTTCAGAGGTTTTGTTCTTACTTTCTGAGTTTTCTTTCTGTGCTTTTTAAAGATGAGGTTAATTTCATGTTTTGGTCTTCAAGTTCTGAGATTGTTTCTTCTGCCTGATAAATTCTGCTTTTCATCTTGTTATGTATCCTGTATGAAGGTTTTTTATGGCCAAATCTCTGTTACAACTTCTTTCAGTATTGCATCTTGTCTTTCTTGAGTCTTATTCCTCTTTCCATCCATTCCCTAATCCCTGTTATAGTCTGGGGCCAGTCATTGGTGACTTCCTTTGTTTAAGCTTTGAACTCTGATTTTTTTCAGGCATTTTATCTTTGTTACACTGGGAATTACCTGTGTCTTCTGTTGATTTTTTCCTCATTTGTGACAGAACACTTTCTTTTCTCTTTAGATCCATTATTCAGTGGCAGTGGGAGGGGCTTTCACTTCTGATGTTTGCTCAACCCTCTATTCTTCCCTTATCAGAGCTCTGAATTTGTTGTTTTGAAACAGGGCTGAGGGTGAGAAGCTTTGTTGTCTCTTATAGTTTTGAGAGTCAAATAAGTTGGAGGATGAGGAACTAGGATTCAGAAATTACTTGCAAATTACAATGTTCACTGACTGGGGTATGGGTTCCTTGAGACCCACTTCCCACTACCACTCTATATGATGATGCAATGGGTACATGTATATATCCCCTGAGTCCAAGATAAAGTAACAACAATGGGGAAAACAGAAAAAAGCAGTAGAATGAAATAAGACAGTTAATTTTTTTTAAAAACAAAAGTAGAACGCAAAGCAGAAAACAATTACTTACACAAATACACCTACACAAACTTGGGGGAAAAAAGCAGGAAAATGAGCACACACATACACATACACCCAAAACAAAATAAAAAGAGAAGAAAAAAAGAAAAGAGAAAAAAGGGAATGCAAATTGAACCCTCACACATGCATTCACACACACATTAACCTAAAAAAAGAGAACAAAAACAACTGTAAGATGAACACTCAATCATTCATGTACATACATAAACAGAAAACAAAAAACAAAAGAAGAAATAAATTTTTAAAAAGGAGAAAGAAAAAGAAAAAAAGTTGGGGGGAATGCAAATAGAACCCTCACATGCACATTTACACACAAAGAAAAAAGAACAAAAATAAAATAAAATTTAAAAAAATATGCCTTATTGTGGTAAGTTCTGTAATTGTCCCTCTCAACTGCTCACAAGTAAATACTTCTGCTGTCTCCTGTGAAGCTGTGGCCACATTCACAATCTCCGCAGCCAGTGGCCCAGGGAAGGAGGAGGGAGTGGTGGAGGTAGGAGGGGCTTCAGTCCTCCCCTCCCACTCTCATATGGCCATGGGGATCCCTTCCAGTGAGGAGGTGCAGGATTGTCTCCTACCCTGGTACTGATGCCCCAGTCAGGCTTATCCTGGAATAGAGTTTTCCTGTCACAGTTGATGTCCAGGCTCCACCCAGATTCGTCCCTTTTAGTCGTGCCCCAGTCATATGGGTTTGACATTCAGAGGATTGCTGGGGAGAGGGGGTTGGGTCAGTCCTGGACTCACTGCTGATCTCTTTGAGTTCTTCCTCATCCTTTACCCCACAGCTGAATCAGGGTTCGGGGTGGGCACCTGAGACTCAGCCCTTGGCCTGTCTTTCTGGAGTCTGTGTTTCTGGGATATTGCTTCACAATCAATCCTGGGTCACAATCAATCCTTGAGTAGTTAACCCACTGGTCACAGAGATTGGGTCTGTCACTCCATGGTGAGCAAGCTGGAGCACTTCCCTGCCCAGTTTCAAGGTAATGACAGGGTGTCTGCTTTATATTCTTCAGTGGGACTCTGCTTCTGGCTCCCTTGTTATGCTCCCTTGCAGCCCTTGTTACCAGTGCCCAGCCGGTTGCTGCAGTGGTGAAGCAGAACCTAGAACCAGGAGTCACTCCCAGCAGCTTCTTCCTGGGAAGGGCTTTGCTGATTTTTAAAAAATAGTGCTCAACTGCTATGCCCCAGGTAGCACTAGGGTCCAAGCAGAGCAGCTGCAGCACCAGTCACTTCACCAGGAGGGTCCTGGCCACTTGCTCCCGAGTCCCTACTCAGTCAACCACTCATACACCCACTAACTCACAGATACATATGCAAAATTTTCATACACTCACTCACACAGGGACTTGCATAGTCTGGTTGGCTCTGCTGCTGTCTTCCTCTATCCTCTATATCCTCCTTTCAATGACAGAGTAATCCTTTAAGGGTCAGGAGAAGCTGCAATTCATTCTACCTTCCTACTTTGAGCTGTGCTCAAAGTCTATTTCCCTCTAGAAACTTCTTCCTGATATTCCACCTTGCATCTTTTTTGTCCAGAGGGTTCAGGTAAGAGCTGTGCTTGTTCACAAATCTGTTTATCCCAGTTGCACCAGTTATTGTAATTATACAGTAAAACTTAAGCATTTTATAAGCTGATTAAATATGACTACTAAAAAAAAGAAAGGGGATCCTCTTTTTTTAAGAAAATATTTTCCTTTAGGAAAGACTTGCTAAAGCTATTGCACCCATAACGTAGTAATGTAGGTATAAATGAGAAAACTTGAAAAGATTAAGGGCAAACAACATTAAAACCTTAAAAGATTTAGCTCTCAGATTGCTTTGCAATTGTCTTTAAATCTAGACATGTATTTAAAGAAATTGAACCTGTCATTTATAGATGAGGCAATAATAGCTGTAACTCCAGTCTGCAGATCATTCCAGGGAAAACAACTTTCACTCCAAATCAAGGGGTTAGCTTTTCATTTCAAATAAAAAATGTAGATACATATAAATGATGCTTTATGAGTCTTCTCTGTGACCAACATTTGTCCAATCATGAATGGATTGGATCAAATTATGGATGATATCTTTTACTATATTATCTTAGGACAATGTCCAACATAATTACTGAGTAATGTACATGCATGTTTAAATTACTTTAATTTAACCTCAAAACCTACAATGATGATTTGTATTATATATTACTATTATAATTCCTATTTAGTCACTACACGAAGATCTCCCTGGCACTTCAGCAAACAGCACTACTAAAGAGCAACATGATGCCCAGACAAAACCTTTTTGTTCTTGTCACCTGAGACCTGGGGGGAAAATGATAGATTCCTGGTCCATCTTTTATGCACAAAGCCAGGAAATATCCTTCCTAGCCGCCGGTTAATAAATTTTCCCCAAGGAGATAGTTGAATCATTAGAAACAAATAAAGAAGAAGACCTGAAACTAGTGCCACATGAAGAGCAAAAGAAGATATTGTAAGTTGAAAGCATGTCAATATTTCTTGGAAGATAAGAGACATTAATATTCTAAAAGGTATCATAGTCACTTTTTATTAATAGACATAGCACCAGCACAAGTCTTCCTATTTAGTATAGAAAAGCTGAAGTTGGAATAAATTGTAAATTCTCAACTTCTTCATATTGACTTGACTTGTTTTTCTGGATTCCACCTTGAGCTCTCCTTAGGGCCCAGTTATCTGGCCCAATCAGGCCAATTTGGAACAGACTGCTGTGTTTAGAACTCACTGTTGACACAGCAATCTGAGTTACCTGGTGATTTCTGAAAGGATAAATGAACCCATCACCTCCCAGATTTCATAAAAGACACTCACTTGGAGCAGGCTGCCATGACCAACCAGTCTCAGGGGATCCACCAGCAACTTCAAGCAGAAAAAAGGGCCAAGGACAAGCTAGAAGAAGTCAAGAAGAGTAAGTGTACCTGTGAGGGGTTTGTCATAAAAATGGATGAGGCAATGGGATGCAGTGGGATGAGCATGGATTTTGGCTCAAACTCTGGGCTACCACACGCCCTTTGAGATCTTGGCCCATTTGGTAAAATCACCCAAATATATGTTCCTTATGACTATAGTGGGAAGGAAGTTTTCTCATTCAGACTCTTGAGAATGCATGTGCTAAGTAAAAATATCATGGACATTAAAGTTACAGAGATGTGGGCTTGAGCAATGGTTCTGCCACACCTTGGTTTTCTCATTATTGTGAAATGGTTAAGAGATACACAACTTCCAGACTAAATCTGCTTATTAGTGAGTAAGTTTGATAAAATTACTTAATCTTTTGTAAGAAACAGTTTTCGGCTGGGCTCAGTAACTCAGCCTGTAGTCTCGCACTTTGGGAGGCCCAGGTGAGTGAATTGCCTGAGCCCGCGGGTTCGAGACCCGCCTGGGTAACTTGGCAAGACCTCATCTCTACAATAAATCAAAAAAATTAGCCGGGTGTGGTAGCGCGCGCCTGTAGTTCCAGCAACTTGGAAGGCTGAGGCCGAAGGATCACTGGAACCCAGCAGGTCGAGGCTGCGGTGGCCGGGAGCTGCCACTGCACTCCAGTCTGGGTGATAGAGTGAGACTCCGACTCAAAAAAAAAAAAAAAAGAAAGAAACAGTTTTCACGTCCATAAAATTAGAACAATAACAATCCTCATACCTCTTGATAGCTTCTATTTTCTAATATTTTTAAGTATTACCATTTTATTCACATTTTCTAAAACTCCTTTTTTATATATATATTTTATTTATTTTACAAACAGGATCTCACTAAGTTGTCCAGGATGTCCAGGCTGTTGTCTAGGCTGGACGAAAACTCCTGGGCTCAAGAGAACCTCCTGCCTCAGCCTCTCAAGTAGCTGGGACTGCAGGGGTGAGTCACCAAGCCCAGCTCTCTTTCCTTTTATTTAATCATCCATCTGTACACTTACACACAGAATGTCTTCAATGAACTTCAACCCTCTTTCTATTATCTTTGCTCTTCACAAGAGTCAAATGCAAATGAATAATTTATTAACGTTATATCCGCTCTATGTATGCAGAAACCAAGAGTTTGTGATTTACCCAAGGTTATCTTTTAAAAAATAGAAAATATTGTGCCTGGCACCATGCTCAATGCTCATCTTATTTACTCCTATAACAACCTTTATTGCAAAGAGGAAAAGCATTGCTTAGTGAAATTATACAACTTGTCCAAGGTCACACAAGGGATAAATGTAGAGACAGGATTTGCATGAGGTCCAATTTTTTAGTCAAGTTCTTAACCAAGGGACTATACAAAATGTACATACATTTTATAATAAAAAAACTAATATTTCATAGATCTATTACTTGAATTCTAGTTCCATGGGCCAAGACCTATGCTTTTTCCACCATCTCATTTCCTATCACTTCATTATTTAACCCACAAAAGCAGTGTCATTCACCTTCTTCCTTCTTCATGATTATGTATCCTGCTTCTGCAGTGAGATTCAAAGTCTGACAAGATCCAGCCAGTTGTATATGTAACTCTGGATGAATGTAGTGCTGAGATTGGAGAGATTACTGACAAAACCTTATTTAAATGTAATGAATTAAATGAAGGAATAGTGCATTATAAAACAAGAAAGGAAGTCAAGAAGAAGGCAGGAACCAATCAGTCCACTGGAGTTTTCAACCACAGATAAAATCATTTCCCTTGCTTAAAATAAGCTGGTTTCCTAAATACTCAGCAATGTGGGCACAACCAAAAAGAAAGAAAAGACTCCGTGTAGAGGTAAAAGAAGAGGGAGGGAAGGAGAAAGATGGCAAAGACAAACTTTACCTATTTCTCAATTTATTTTTCTACAACAAAACATGCAAATAGTTGCAAAATGGTGAGAATGCAGAGTAATTTTATAGAAAAATAAAACAGTTCGAAGACCTACTGGTTGAAATGGTATAGAAAACTGCCTGACTTTTTTTTTTCCAAATTTCTCTTCCAATATTTAAAACTTGTATAACAGAAGACCAAATTATTTTAAGATGTGATAAATATGAGGGCGACCAAAAAATGGATTTCATTTATTTTAAAAAGTGTGCTTATTCTTATATGCTTAAATTTCAGTCTCCAAAGTACTCTTCATTTGATACAATGCACCTATCAAGACATTTTTTCCACTGCTCAAAATGGTTTTTGAACTCGTCAGTTCTGATGCCTTTTAGTTATTGTGCCATTTTTGTTTCACCTCTACCACATCAGAGAAACATTTCCCTTTGAGGACTTTTTCTGATCCAGGAAAACAAACCCCCCAGAAAAGTCTCTGGAGGCAAGATCTGTGAATGGGGAGGGTGGGTACTGGGATCAAGCCGTTTCTGGTCAAAAACTGCTGAATGCTCAGCATAGTGTGGACAGGTGCACTCCTAAATCACCCATCATGAAATAAGCAAATGCGTTGAAAGATCTCCAAAAACATTCACTGAGACAGAACACAGCCTCTCACAGAAATGCTAGCTAGTACACTGATGCAAATGGGTTCCTAGAACACCTACCTAGTCGGGGAAGCCTACAAGGGGCCCACCCTCCCAAAGATAATTCCAGGTTTTTGAGTCCCTGGTTGTATGTTGTGTTTGTTTCTGCATTATGAAAGAAATGAAATAACAATACTTAACACATATAATCAATATTATTGTATGATTCAAATAATTTTTACCAACTATTTTTTTGAGTTGAAGTCTCACTCTGTCGCCCAGACCAGAGTGCAGTGGCCGCTCCCGGCCACCGCAGCCTTGACCTGCTGGGCTCTGACGATCCTTCCACCTCAGCCTTCCAAGTAGCCGGAATTATAGGCATGCGTTACCACGCCGAGCTGCTTTTTTGATTTATTGTAGTGATGAGGTCTCCCTGCCGGGCTCAGGCAATTCACTCACCTCAGCCTCCCAAAGGCGAGGGATTACAGGCTGAGCCACCAGTCCGGCTTATTTCTTTCTTTTTCAAAGTCATTAGAGAAGAAAAGTATTGCAAGTTATTTGGGAGTAGGAGCCACTAAGGACACCTAACTTCAAATTTCATAGTATAAAAGCCAAACTTCTTTTCCTTTCTTTGAATGAGTATGCTGTCCTTAGGCAATCTATCCGCAGAAAGCAGTATTATTTGCATACAAAATGCTTATTTTATTTACCAATAACTTGAAATATCTATACTTTTTTCTTAGTCTACTATGTCTTTGTTCATGAATATTCAAGTAGAATATTTCACCAGTAATAATAAATACCCAGGTTTTAAAGACATTCTGAAAAAAATACTTTGACTTTTAACAACTAACCTTTGCAGTGTTTTACAGAAAATGTCAGTATGTCCTCTTTGCCTCAGAAAGCACAGGCTCTGAGGCCAGTTTTCATCAGATATAAACTGTTTACTTACAAAGATGTCAGCAGGTAACTGTTTATAGTTACAACAGTACTCCTACTCAATTAAGCATTCTATGGCAAAATAAAAACATTGCCTTATATACTTGTTATGCTATAAGTTCCCTCATATTTCAATAGTTTTATTTTATTCATTTAATTCAATAGGAATTTATGGGGTGCTTATTAGTTCCATGCCACTTTGATGTTATACGCTGATGAGTAGACCTAGCTTTCTCCTTAAAGAACACCAGAGTGAGAGAAACGCATAAATGACCAATAACGAAAGGGAAAGGAATAGTGACATAAGAGTTAGAGATAGTCATCATTTTAATAAGCCCATATATTTTCATTTTATTTTCTTTATAAAAAGATTCTTTTGAAATTCTGACACATTAAGGAAGAATAGAGGTTCAGAATGAGGACCAAAATGTCATAACAGTGAACACCATGGTACAAGGTCTACGATCACTTTCTCTTTCTTAAATCCATTTATTTGACAGTCCCTCAGAAACTTGCACATAGAGTACTAGATCAGGACTTTTGAGTACATACTTTTTTAAAAAAAGAAAGGAAGGAATGAGACAGAGAGAGAATAGCAATTCACATTAATCATTTCTGAAAAATCCAAGATTAATAAGGTAGCAGTATTTCTATATTATGTTGCAAAAATATTAATATATTCCATTAAGGAGGACTGCCTCAGATTCTGGTGAGGTTGATACATAATACAGTATATGGTATAAGTGTTTGGCCTCCAGGGGTACAGATAAGGGATTATGAACCTAATGTATTAGGAACTCTTCCAAAGACCACAGGGTCTATAGAAGTGGAATATACCGGTCTCTGCTCTCAAGACATTCACCAACTACTGAGAGAGATGACATTTGAGAGGGGCAAGGGCAGGACTGTGAACAGGCTTCAAAAGTCAGAATGTGGGCTAGCAGAGTACAAAAAGCACCAGCTTGCGTTGAAAACTTATGATTTTCATGTTATTTATTATCGCTGAGTCTTGGTCTTCTTTTTTAAAAAATAAAAATATAAGTTATAATATATATATATATATGAGTGTGTGTGTGTGTGTGTGTGTGTGTGTGTGTGTATGTCTGTAACTGTGACCAAGACGTTTTAAGGTTCAAAAACATATATATGATAATAAAGTGGAGTATACACTAAGTTATTTTTATTTTCATAAATGTTATATATCTTTATATATTACTACAAGTAATAGTAATAGAAGAATGGAATAGAATAGAACAAACTGGTTCAGTCCCTTTGACACCAGGTCCCTTTGGGGACCTGGCCTGCTTCTGATAAGAGGACAAAAAATTCTCTGATATTTGCCTCTATTCATGATTACAGATTAAATTATATTATTGTATGTGTGAGAGTTAAAACTCTCACAGATATTTTTATGTGAAAAACAGCGTTACAGTTTGATTGAATTTAGATGAAATCACAGTAGGTTGCACTACTTTAAGCTATCTTACTTGGAGTTAACACTTTTTTATTAATAAATTGTTCATTAATCAAAACATAAAAGTAGATGCATTAGTCCAAGTCTAGTTACACTTTTAATACAAAACATCAAAGACCTGCCCTGGAGTGCCAGGTTTGGGGTATTGAACTGAACCCTTAATCAGAATTGGATTAGAAATTCAAAGTACCATCATCGATAGGAAGAATAGAGACTTGTTTCTCTGAAATATGTAACATTGTTACTTTTAGTTATGACCTTTTTTTGAGGCCAATATTTATTTCAAACACATCCATTGCAAACGGAAAAATCTATAGCTCTGCATTAAAGTTGTTCTGAAATATTCAAATTCTCATGACTCAACATCACATAAAGAACCCATATTCCTAAGTCATTTCTGAACATACTTCATAACCTCTCCCACAAATAAGCACTATGTCTATTTTGGAAACTGCAGAAAGTAGCATTTGTGCTTAACTAAAAATTACCAATTACAATATGGGACATTGACTGAAAGATATGATTTTAAAAATCTAAATCTTCAAATCTATAGGTGGAAAATAGTAAACAAGTAGATACATTAAAAATATCCTAAAAGCTATAGACAATCGTAATAAAAGGGTCGGACATAGTCCTCTAGCTTACTAGCAAGATAGTGGGGACGGTGCTCATTCCCTGCAGCTGCTCCTCCTGGACACAAATCCAACTTCTGCTACTTCCTAGCTGTGTGAATTTAGGGAGCTACTTCTTAACCTGGGTGTGCCTGTTTCCTCAGCTTCAACATGGAGATATCAATAGTCCCTGCCTCACGGAGTTGTTATAATGAACTGAGTTAACACTTACAAAAGACTTAAAACACACTTGGTGCATAGCAGGTGCTCAACAAATGTTAGCTATTAATTAGCCGGGCTCGGTGGCTCAGCCTGTAATCCCGCGCCTTTGGGAGGCTGAGGTGAGTGGATTGCCTGAGCCCGCGGGTTCGAGACCCGCTGGGGCAGGCGAGACCTCATCTCTACAATAAAATCAAAAAATTAGCCGGGCATGGTAGCGCTCCCCTGTAATTCCGGCTACTCGGAAGGCTGAGGCGGAAGGATCGCCGGAGCCCGGCAGGTCGAGGCTGCGGTGGCCGGGAGCGGCCACTGCACTCCAGTCTGGGCGACAGAGTGAGGCTCCAACTCAAAAAAAAAAAAAAAAATTCTTCCAATAGCTAACAAAAAGAATTCTGTTGAAAAGAAACACGAGAATAGCAGAGTATCAATGATTTCTTAAGCCTGGTCTTCTATGACATCTTTCTTTGATATATAGTTTGGTAGAAAATAAGTACTTAAGAAAATATTTCTACATTCTAAATCATCCATCAGATAATACCTTAATGCTGGTTAGTTTTTGTGGGTCT